CAGGAATGGGGAGGGGGCTGGCACTGACCTTTTCTGAATGCCCAGTGCCATCCCAGCCAGCAATACATAGGTGATGAAGGCCATTGCTGCCAAGAGCCAGAGAGATGCCATCAGCCTGGTTTCCTCAACCAGAGCCCTCCCCGGCTAGGCATTTGAGGACACTGACACCCTTACCTCCCCCTCATACCTCCTTCCCTGCACATCCCAACTTGGCAACTGTCACACTCAGCCCATTCTCCCCGTGTAAATGCCACCTGATCCTTTTCTCAGGACCACCAAGCCACCTGCCTCTCTGCCCTGTGCTAGGAAACGCACCAAAGTTTCCTGCTGTGTCTCAGAAACATCACTGGTCAAGGCTACTGCTCATCCCTGACCCACAGGCAGGGGTCAAACTGATCTCAGGAGAAACTAGAGGACCAAAGTGCAGGTTGGATGGACTAATCAGGCTGTCCCTGGGTCCAGGCCATGGGGATGACCTCACTGCAGCCAGTTCTAAGTCTGGACACTGGTGCCCGCTACAGCTCTGGCCACCCTGCCCAGGTAGAGCTCCACGTTTAACTGTTTTCACCAAAGCTCAGAGCCAGTGGGAGCCGGGCTTTCACAGCTTTACTAGTAACTCATCGGTCCTGTCCTCTGCCCGCCTGAAGCGCCAGAACTGATGTGTCCACCAGAGGGCAGTGTTTGGGATCAGGAAACCAGCTCTACCACCTGCCAGATACTCAGGGCTCTGAGCTTGGCTTCTCCATGTAACATGAGAGTGGAGTTCCCACCTGACTCGGTGGTCCCGAGAGGGACATGGAATGAAGGACGGAAGAAGAACCCATGTCCCTCCTCGGGCCCTGGGCTGGCCGGGGCACTCACAGAACAGAGGAGTCAGATGTAGTTTGCCAGCCACAGCCAAGCAGGCAGCCTGACCTGTGCCATGTGGACGGGCAGTTTGGGAACTGAGAAGGGAGGGGACTTTTGGGGACAGTAATAATGATGACAACAGCTACTAGTTACGGTATGCTTCCTACGTGCCAGGCGCTGTGTGAGTGCACACCACCTCCCCGAGCCTCCACCACACAGCCCCTGCGCCCCTGCGCCCCTGCGGGAGGCACTGTTGTTACTTTGTTTTACAGGAGAGTGAGATTAGCCAGGAGGAGGTCTACATCCAAGGCTCCAGGCTGGGGAGGCACACAGTGCGAGTCAGGAGGCAGGAAGGTGTCACAGGGTGTCCCCCGAGGTCGCTGAAGGCATACCCCGGAAGCTCCTTCCCGGCCACCCCGCTGTCTGCCTGGTACTGCGTGACCGCCACACACAGAGGCCCCAAGAGCAGACGCTGAATCAACACATGACTCTCTCCTCGTTGGTGCCGCAAGACACAAGTCCCCTCACGTCCCCCCGCCCAGGTCAAGACTCACTGGGAATATAGAGGTCAGGGGCGTTGAGGTCTTGTCGCGGGGGCAGAGGGACATCACGACTGTACTGCACTTCCCAATTCTGGCAATGGCAGCGGCAGCCCGTCGAGAGGAAAAGACAAGAGAGGAAAGAAGGGGTTGAGGTGTGGGGGCCAGACTGCGGAGCAGGATGAGGGAGGCAAGGGGGCCTGCCAGCTCACCTGGTGTGTGTAGGGGAAGACCAGGAGCCCTAGCTTCTTGGCCACATAGGCTGTGTCCACAGCGAAAAAGTACTTGAGTTTGTTGACAGACACAAAGCGGTGCAGCTGGGAGGGAAGAGAGAGGAGGCTGGGCACAGGGCACCCGGACCTTGGGGTGCTCTTCCGTGTGCTCCTTCCCCGAGGGGTGCTGGGGGGGTCAGGCGGGATTGCGTGATGCCCCAGCCTTGGCCAGAGATCCTGCCACCCTTGCCCTGGGGGAGCACCACACCTCCTTGTGCACAATGTCCTTCCCATGGGATGCGATGGAACTGCCATAGGCCATAGCCACGTTGGCCACTGGGTCCCCAAGCAAGTGGTTGACATTGAAGGCCACGTCGGCTCCTGGGGCTGGGTATCCCCCTGGCTGGATGGAGTAACCACCGCTTGTGTCATCGAAGAGGGGAGGGGGATCCGGAGCCGCCCGGGTCCTGTGCTTGGAGCCTGTGGGTTTGTAGGTAGCAGAGGAGGTGTCAGGAATACCCAGCATGAGCCCAAAGCGCCATCCCTTCCCCAGGGGTTCTTCTCAGAGGCGCTAAATGTGGGCAAAGGAAGAGCTGGGGCAGTGCCTGGACGCGGCTGCCCACCGCGGGGTTCCCGGGGGCCTTCTCAAGGGAAGTGACCTCCGAACAGCCTGGGACAGTGAGAAGCTTGCTAGGCGGAGAAGACAATGGCAAGGGCATCTCCAAATGAAAAAGGTGGGAAAGGCGACGGCTGGGCACCCGAAGACCCCGAGCAATGGTCGGGGACCCAGCAGGGTCATGACAGGGAAAGGCAGTTCCGGAGGCGGCCCCGTTCGTCCCCGGGTCCGACACGGGGATCCCAGCTGTGCCGTCACTGCCCCATCGCAAGATCGGCCGAGAGGGCGAAGTCCAGGACGCGTTGTCGAGTGGAGCTGGGCAGGAACCCTAACGACACCCGCCACCCCGGGCAGCGGTCAGGCCGCCCCTTCCCTGGGGGTGAGAGGGCCGTGCCGCCGACCCTCCGGAGGCAGGTCGGGCCGCGCCCCGCCCGCCCCACGCACCGTGAGCTCC